ACCTTTATCCTGAATTCAAAAGCTGTAGTTGGTGTGTTCAATGAAGAAGAGGCCTGGGAGAGGTCTCCACTATGCCTCTCACTCAAGGTGTGATACTAAATGAATTACTCTGCTCACAAGGCCTCAGCATTCCCATGTATCAAGCAGGGAGCATACCTCCTATTTCTTTCCGTCATGTAAAGAGAATATATTTGAGTACACTTTAGACTTACAGAGCTGGGGCAGGGGTTGGAGAGTAAGGGGGAAGGAACTTTGCAAAGCTATGATTATGTCGTTGAAAATAACAAACTGTTTCAGAAGTTCTGCCATAAGCTATGTAAGAAAAATCACAAATTATTTAGCATCATGCAAACTTTGAATCTCAGGCTATTACAATTACTCTTCAATAGCCATAGCCATCTCCACAGACTTATATTGTAGGAGAAACTATGGTCCCTAGAGTTAATTTTAGTCAAGTCCTCTTTCTCCTTCTGCCCCATTTTAAGAGTAATACTTTATCACTCTGGAACTTTGGACTGTTGGGTCAGGCTATATGGACAATGACCAAACAGACTCCATTTTACCTTGAGACTCCATGTCATGTAAGAAATCATTCTCCCATGGGAAGACCCCACCTGTGTACCTACTTGACAATTACTTAGCATAGCATATTGGCAATGCAAAACAGCAAAATTGTTCCTTCTATTCTTATATACTGTACTTGTGCAATGTACCCTAACCGCATAGAATGTTAATGTTTGTCTAAACATTAGAAACCATTCCTTAACTTGCACTCAACCTAGGGTCATTTTGACCCGCTTCCCCTTCTGCTTATGATTTTAGATCTCATGATTTTTGTTTACAGTTTTGAATCATAGCAACAGACACTTATGATTAATGTACTGACATTCTTTAAAAAGTGTACTCTAACTCCTGGAGGGGGTCAAAGGGTGTAGACTTGCAGCCTAGCCCTTGGCCCTCCAGCTGGTGAATAAAATGTTCCGTCTCCTGTTTTAAGATTGACTTGGTGATTTACTGGAATCTTGCAAAACAGGACATTATAGAAAAAGAAAATTAAAAACCATCCAGAACCCTCCCCCCCCCCCAAAAAAAGTGTTCACCATTCCATATTTACTACTATCTAATATCATAATGTATCCTTTAATAACTATCTTTGTTCATATAACAACATATCTGTAGTTAACAAACTGAATAAAGATCTGTTACCAGAGGGTGTAAAGTTGAGACTGATTTTTGACCAACTGTATACACATACTCACTTATCCCCTCTTGGAACAAAACCTTCTCTGCAAAGGAGAGCCAGCTGTGAAATTTAATGGTAAGACCCATTCTCCAGGTCCAAGTGCTCTAATCACAGTGGCAAATGGAGATTATTTCTGAGAGATGACTTTCCACTAGTTATGTCTTGCTGTGGCCAGTTTCAAAGCCCCATTTATCCCAATGCTCACTAATTGTTTCAAATTGGACCTGTGAACACAGGCTTCAGGCCTTCATCATGGTTTCTCAGCAGGAGTCAAGATATTTCCACAATGAGCTGATTACAGAGAAAGCTGCAGCTTCAAAGAGAAGAATTAGCACACAGCATGTTCTTTCAGAAGGAAAATTTAGCTGTTTTCAAAACATCTCATTTTATTTTCTTTCAGCTTAAGCATGTCTAGATGGAGAAACTAAGTGGCTTTAATTCTGTAAAGGCTAAATGGTGTGTTTTATTTGATCAAGTCATTCTCCTGCTGAAAATTCTTCAGTGATATTCCATAGCTCTGAGAATAGAAGATGATCAAGTTTCTTAGCATTGCACAGACAAAAAATCTACATGATTTGGTTCCTGACTACATTTCTCCATAATTTCCAAAGTAAGTGCAGTAGAATACCAATCTTATATTCCTTTGAGGGAAAAGAACCTATTCTACAGGCAAAAAATTCAGACTATGCTGCAAATTCTAACTATTCCTAAACTCTACTCTATACCCCGCCCCCACCTCCTACAGAGGAATGACCCTGAGAAGGCTTCAGAGTGATCCCGTTTAACTTTGTTTTACCCATTGCTTTCCAAATTAATTTGGCCATTCAATGCCTTTCTTTTCTCCCTTCATCTAAATCTATTTCATAAAAGACACTTTTAAAAATGTTACACTAGCCTTCCTGTCCTCTAGCTTCAGACATAGTGAACTTATTGTTTCTTGAATTTCTTGGGTTTTCTGCAAAATACCATCCTCTTATTAGTACTTTTAGTTAATTTCTACCTGTTTTTATTTTAAAATTCAACTCCAGTCACCTTTTTTGGTAAGGCTTTCCAGCCACCCCACTCAGTCTAAATCAGATTTCCCTCTGCCTCAGTCCTATAGCAATCTATTCATACTTTTATCAAGGTGCTTAAAATCTGTACTGTAATAATTGATTTGCTTATATGCCTTCCCACAACAGATAGATTAAAGATCCTCAAGGGCAGGAGAGAGGTTTTCTTTGGCCTTGTAACCTTGACACTTTTGTGACTGGCTGTTTCAAAAATTCTTCAAATGGATTATCATGCTTATTAGCATGTAAATCTAGAATCCTTACCTTTGGCTGTAAAATCTGGCATTATATAGCTCCTACCTACTCCTTAAACTTCATCTTAGTCTACCATTTCCCTCACTCTGCATTGACTCACAATGCCATCCTTCATTTTTTCCAAAGGATCAAAACGCCTTCCCATCTTAGTGTCTGAAAACTGCACCTAGCTGTTACCTATCCTGAAAATCTTGGTTTGAGCATCACACCCTATGAAAGCCTTCTTCTTTGATCCTCCAGGAGAAGGAAAGTCTTCTAAATCTTCTGTCATACACTGTCATAACAACTCATATTACCTCTTTATGAAACAGGTTGAGGATCCTTTATCCAAAAGGCACAGGACCAGTGCGACTGGGTTTTGAAAAATTAATTTTAGAATATTTGCATATACATGAGATATCTGAGAGATGGAACTCAAGTCTAAACGTAAAATTATTGTTTCATATACATCTTTCCACATAGCATGAAGGAAATTTTATGCAATATTTTTAGTGCACTTGTATTTTGACTGCAACCTGTCAGATGAGGTCAGGTATGGAATTTTTTACTTGTGGCATCTTGTTGGTCCTCTAAAAGTTTTAGACACTGGAGCATTTCAGATTAGATTTTTGGATTAGGGAATTGTACTTCTCATAATTTTTCTGAAAGATTTTTGGTGGAGGAGATTATAATTAAGCTGAATTTCATATGGACCTTTATAAATGCATCCTGAAGGTAATTTTATGCAATGTATAAAATAATTTTGTGCATGAAACAAAGTTTCTTAGTGAGGAGTTTTCCATTTGTCATGTCATGTCAGCACGCAAAACATTTTAAATTTGCAGTATTTCAAATTTGGGATTTTCAGATTAGGGATGCTTAGCCTATATGTATTATAAGTTTAATCGTTGTTTAACATTTCTTTGTCTTTGTCTCTAGCATGTTTTCCAAGGGCTCAGATCATATTTGTACCTGGAAACTGGCAGATATTCAATGAATATTTTGAAAAGAATAAGTACTAGTATATATGAAGTGCCTCTTTATTTAATGTCTCCCTATTTATCTATTGTGCCATTCCTAAAATGTTCTTATCATGGCCTCTATTAGATACACCATATTTATCTTATAAATCACTAATAGCCTGACTTAATAATTTTATTCATATAGCTACTGCTTCTTGAGGAAATATACCTGGTAATCCTGTGTGGCACATAGCTTATACTCAATAGATATCTGTGGATAAAACTTCTAAAAGAAAATAAAAAATCTATAGCAAGTGCTCTTATTTATTATAGGTTATAAAATTCCCAGAAGGCAGTAACCATTTAACATCTTTCTCCCTTTACTTCTCAAAGTGTATTTTAAAACTGGTTTTAAAATGATTAAAAAGTTCAATTCTTATTATGTCTCATAGATGCTTTTTTTTTTTTTTTTCGTCCTGGGGATTGAATAAACCCAGAGGTATTTTACCACTGAGCTACATCCCCAACACTTTTAATTTTTTATTTTGAGACAGGGTCTCCCTAATTTGCTTAGGGCCTTAAAAGTTGCTGAGACTGGCTTCAAACTTGCGATCCTTCTGCCTCTGCCTCCCAAGTCACTAGGATTATAGACATGTGCCACAGTGCCTGGTTTCTTTTTGTATCTTAAAGATCTTCCACTTTATCCAGCTAGATGATAAGATTTTTGGACTTTTTTACATGTACATACACAGTCAGTTATAAAATCTCCTGTCTTTGAAATTCAAAATAATATTAAGTCAAACTGAAATCTAAATTTTGATAAGATTTCACTCTTTTCTAATTTTTAAGTAGTTCTGAAATTTCCAAATAGACAAATTTCCACCTTTCTTTAAAAAAATTTTTAATTTTCTTTTATTTTATGCTTTATACTTCTCCCTTGGTCCCTAAGATTCATAATCCTAACAATTAAGAAGTTCTTTTTAGCTTCTACCTTGAGAATACACAACTGCTCTTTCATAATTTCTTTCTAAAGAAAATGCAGACTAGCCAATGATTATCCTTCTACCATATCATCATATACTGCTCAGTTCCTTTTGTGGTATTATTCTCAAATTCATTAGAAATACATATCCTAGCTCTATTCTTCAAGAGTTTTATCAGACTATTACTTGTCTTCCCTGACAGAGAAGTCATTATGAACAACCCAGAACAAAAGATATTTCACTACTCTTCAGGTTCCCCATCACAAAATATAGAAATAATGCCTGACAACTACGTCTCACATGACAAATAGAAAAAAAAATTAACTATACCCATAATAGAATGTTTATGTTAAATAATAAAAAATAATTAAGATCACCACCAAAACCTCCGAGTCAAAAGACAAAACCCAAAATTAAGATCTATTTTTAAAAATTTATTTGTAATTGGGGAAAAGACTTCACACCTACTGCTTTATCTCCTAATTCAAAACAGAGCCCCCGCAAAGCAAAGAGTAACCTAACATACCTCCTCTTCTCCCTGGCTTCCACAGAGGAGTCTGTTCCAGTAGAGGAGAGCACAGTGGCAGCTGTGACCCCATTGGCAGTGCTAGGTGGAGGACGATTGGTGATCACACAGAGGGGGGTGCTACAAGAGACACTCTCTGCTGTCTTCTCTGTTGTAGAGTCAGCCTGGGATTTGTAAGGAGTCCTGAAATCAAAAGAGACATGAGCAGGAGAATGGTCAGCTTGCAATACCATAAAGCACTGGCTCAGAGACAGGAAGGTTAGAGAGGGCTAACTAGAGAATCTTTTTACTCAGATTTTGTTTGTTGATTTGTTAATTCTGAGCTCTTAAATCTTAGAACAGTGTAATTACATGTTTAGTTGGACATCCTCTGCCTGAGGACTCACACTTAATTTTATTATTATTATTTTTTTGTCTGAGATCAAAAAACAAAACCAAAAATTAGCTATATGGTACCAAGCAAGATAGTGACATATGCAAGAGTGCTTTAAATGACTCCTCATTACCATCTGGCCTCCCTCCACACATGCACACAGAGACAGTGTCTTGCTACACAGGAGAAAGACACTAAAGTCACTTACGATATTAGTTTCCACCTGTCCCTCAATTCTTGGCAGTGGGAGTCTTTGTGGTAGTCCTCAGTCTAGATTTGATGATCATCTTCTTGAATTATCCATTTGAAAAATACTCTACAACCTCAGTATGTTTAGTTCTCCCTCACCTAGTTCAGCAACTGCAGTCTCTTTTCATTTAACAAAATGCCTAATTGTCTGTATTCGTAACTGCACAAGGGAGAAATTAAAACAAAAACCGAATAGGAATTCTGTATGTAACCTTAGCTACAGACTTTTCAACAGCAAGCTGTATAATTAAACTCATTTATGTGAAAACAAGATCTTTGTTTCTTAACAAAGAGTTAGGAGCAACCATTGGCTCTCCACCCAAAAAGCTATCATTTGTGATGTCACAGCTTGTTGCTGGGGTAACAGAGATCCAAAATTGATACAGAGATGGCAAAAGCAATGAAAAGCATGAATGTTAAAAATCTGTTTTTCACCCACTCACAATTATTACCAGAAATGTTTATAAGTAGCTATAAGTTCACTTCCAAATAATCAATTATTAGAATAAGCTTAAAAGAAATAATTGGATAAGAATCTATTATGGTACTTAGATACAAATGTAAAAATAGAATACTTTTAAAGATGGAAGTGGTATCTAAAAAATATAAGCTACTTTTTCAGAAGCTTAATTTTTTATTCATTTTCTAATTTGAAAAATTAAAGGTAAATAATTCCCCAAACTTATTAATCTATAAGGAGTACTAATAAAATTAAAAACACATTTATGAAAAATTATAGGCATGGCAGCACACATCTATAGTCCTAGCTATTTGGGAGACTAGCTACCTGTAGTTCAGGAGGTCAAGGCCAGTCTGGGCAACACAGTGAGATCCCGTTTCAAAACACAAACAAACAAACAACAATAAAAACCCATTAGGTAAGGTTTTTCATACCTTACCTAAGGTTTTTTTTTGTTTTGTTTTTGTTTTTAGGTTAATAACATATTTTGTTCTCTGCATTTCTTAAGCTATTGAAATTTCAGAGATTTAATTTTATTAAATCATACAACAGGATTTTTACTATTATTTTGAAATGTGATATAATTTCACAAGTAGATAAGAGACTAGGAAAAACTCTAGAGCAGGAATCAAAGTTGGTACAATGGAGTAGGATAAATATAGGCTTTGGGTTTAAGGTAATTTACTGTCTGATCTCTTCTTCATCTATAAAATAGGAATAATGATATCTTTACATGCAGGATTCTTGTGATAACTAAACAATGCTGCAGAACTCCTAAAATAGTACCTGGAATAAAATATAAATTCACTGGAACCAAACAGCGACAAAATGGACAAGAGCTTTGAAATGGACAAATCTGCGTTCAAATCCTGCTCAGGTCCTCACTAGCTGTGTGATGGTGGGCAGATGACTAAGCTTTTGGCCTCCGTTTCTTCATCTATAACATAATATTTAATCAACCGTGAAGCTCTTTTTTGCCATATTTTTTATTGGTGCATTATTTTAATTGTATATAATGGTAGGAGGTATTGTTACATATTAATACATGCACACTACAAAACAATATAATTTGTCAAATAGCATATATACTGGGGAGCTCTTTATGAAACTATAAATAATATATGTGTACTTAAGATGGCTAATTGCCTAAGCCATATCCATTGTTCATTACTAACAGAACCCCTGTATCACTGAGGGCAGCAATGTACTTATTAAACATCTACATCTACCAATGTACCTATTAAAGCCTCCCTATAAACTGGAGATATCCAAGGAGATATAAACAGAAAACTAGTAGTTCTGAGAAAGTTTTCGGTTCAGAGGCACTCCATCCCTGCTGCTTCCCTCTTTCCTTCTGCTTCCTCCCTTCATTGCAGCCATAATGGCTAGAGCCCCAGCAGTTATTTTGTTTATTGAGTCAATCCATGGAAATAGATGCCATGATGTAAAGATTACAGAGTAGAAACACTGAAAAAAATCTGGATCCTTTAATGACTTTAGAGCTATTAGGTTAGCCCTGACTATTTCTGTGCTTCCTACAAGAAAAGGATATAAACCTTTATCTTATTTAAGGCACTGTTATATGTGAGTAAAGCAAATCTCAATATAATCTGTGTATAGTAACTGAGCCAATGCCTGTCACATAATAAGGTTCAAAAATGATGTCTATATTTACCTTTCCCCAATGTCAGTTCTTAATAGTTAATCAAGTAACCTATCTGTGTTTTGGCTTCTTCATCTATGATGATAATAATTACCATATCTGTATAGTTGGATAATTATGGGGATCCAATAAATTTCCACATAGTTATACAGTATTATTTTTATTAATCAGTCATAAGCCTGTCCCTCCTTATAAATAACTGGATTATTATGAGAACCTAATGAATTTCTACATAATTAAACCGTACTATAATAACCCATCATGATCTTATCCTTTCTGGTCAAATTAATAATCACTACTTGTTTTCAGGAAAGAAATCTAGTAAACTGACAAGTATCAATAATCACCACTCTAACTGGTGTTCTTGCAACATGTCTTCATTAATAATTTTACATTTTCTTTTGTGTCACCCATAGGGACAAGACCCACAAAAACTATACCCCAAAAGCAAAAAGGTCTCTGACCACATGAAAAAGATTAAAGAACCATAATTAAAACAACAGCTAAAGTTCTGCCACACTTTCACAATGAAACTCTGCCCATGGAATCCCTTAGATAAACTAGAAACCAAGGAGATACTGTCCCCAAACATTTTAGACAAGCCCGAATCTCTCCTTTCCCACAGCATTCCCGGAAAAACATTCTCATTGGCTGGGAATTTTCAGAAGGCTGTAGGAGGCTTTTGGAATATCAGCTAGCTTTCCTTCTTATCTGGGTTTGTATGCCATCTTCCATCTTCCAAAACAACAAGAAACTCCCACTCATAATTACTAGAAAGTTAAAATATAAGAATATTTTAAATACTTAATTTACTGCAATAGGTATAACCATTAAATTGTACTCAGAACTGGTAAAATTGTTGAGAGATAAAAGCAATCATGTTAAGTTGATCCTTGAATCCCAAATACAATGATATATATCCTATGTTATTCAATAAGCAATGGTTAACTGGCTAAGAAAAGCCAAAACAAAAGCATCTCCATTAAGTTATGGAAATTTTCACAGGAATTCATATTTCCACCTCAGTGACAAAGTCTCTTTAGTTCAAATCTCATGTGTTTCCAGAGGCATTAACTTTGAAGAATGCAACTCAAATGGCTCCAAGAAGCCTTACCTGCCATGGTGTACAGATGCAGTAGTGTTTGCACTGATGGGTGCAGGGCAAGAAGAGGCAGGTTGCCACTGGCTGCCCCGAGAGGTAGATGAACCAATGGTAATGGGTGAGGTAGCAGGAGATGAATTGCGATTGGCTGAAATGTAGGGACTTGTGGGGTCACTACTTCTACCAAATGAAGCACTGCAAAATAGCACACAGTCACTTTCTTCAGGACATGCTGCTCACCCACCATTTCCCAGCACCACCTTCCCACATTCCCAGATTGTTCAATTGAAAGGAATATAGACCAAAGAGAGGGCATGGCAACTGGGAAATGGAGTGCTCAACTCCAGCTGGAGCTGGGACACTGGCAGCAAGCAGGTGATCACCAGAAAGAGTGAAGCAATCATCACTCTTTTTAGAATGATCTTTAGGTCAGTCATCCAAAAGAGTGAAGGAATGTGAAGGAGGAGAGATGATATTTAACAAGGAAAAGCCAGAAAGTAGAATATATGACAAGAGTAGAAGCTCAGAAAGGGTAACAATAGGAAACAGAATAACTCTATTAGAAAAAATAAGTCCCAACAAACCCAAGTCAAAAAAGTCATGCAACCCCAAATGTCTACCTGATATAGAAGCAGCACTGCAAAGCCAAAGTAAGATGAGGGAATTTGGAGAGGTTTTCAAATTTTAAAATAAAAAAGTGGACAGGAGTAAAGAAATTCTGAAAAAATGCCTTTGAGAACTGCAGTTATTTAATTTAAAGCCAAAATGCCTTTGGAAGGATTTGAAGTTTGAAGTCTAGAAAGTAATGTTGTATGGGAAACAAAAGGCAACTTTTCTTGGTTTCTAGTGAAGATAGGTAAGAACCATCTCAATTGCAGCAAAAAGTTACTTGGGTTAGAATTTTAAAAAAATACTTCCTAACTATAATAGTAATGACACACTTGAGGGGGTGATTAAAAAGGGCTATGCAGCCTTCTCTGGAAAAGAGGCTTTTTTGTTGGGTCCCATCCAAATGGATTCCTGCCTATATACAGACAAGAGATGACATAGAAAAGAAAAGTATACCAAGGCCTGGCACAGCCGGGGAACGATAAATTCCTGTTTTTCTTTTCTGTTGAAAATGGTGATGGCACAGAATTCTTTCTTCTTGAAAAGATCATAAGAGAAGATTTTATAAAATCAAAAGGTGCCTTAGGGTTACAGAAGATATGCTTTGGAAATCCAAGGTGTGAAGCAAGTTGTACATCTTTTCTCAAAAAGTACTCTCATAATTAAGCACATTTTCCACTCTAAATAGAAGCAGCACTTTCCTTTCTGTTCACTGTAACCTGCCAGACTACATCTATCAAACCAAATGCCACTCAACCCATTTGCTAATGATATGGATCAAGGAAATCAGCAACCTCGGCACAAAATAACTCCATGACTGAAAACAAAATAGTAGCTTTGTCCCCTTTCTATCTCTAGAACATTATCTTCTGAGAAAAGTTTTCTTGAATTTGATTTCAACTGTGAGGAATAATATCCTATCTAGGTGAATGAAGTCCTTTGCCATTAATACAAATAGCTGATAACCTCACATAGACAGAAACACTTAGTGTATACAATAAAGAATCAGTGAAATCACTGACCTGTGCCTGTACAGTTTCAAAATTGAACCCTTTCGATTTTGGCTATATCTGTAGAATTAAAGCAGTGGTTGTTTCTTTTATAGCTTATTATTTCCTGGGTTCTGACATTAACTATTTGACAAATCTTCCTGCCAAATGGAAATAAGTTTTGATCCCAAACAGCTAATCTGCCCATATAGTCTATGGCCAAAGCCTGTTTCTAAGGTAACCAACCAGCCATCTAGGAAACCTAATGAAGGCATGAAGAGGCAGTTGGAGGGGTTAAGTGGAAGTGAAGAAAGAATTCAAAGTAAGCAGTGAAAAACAGATTCTTCCACATCAGCAGCAAAGTTCAAATTAAAAAATTAATTAAGTATATCTTATAGCTAGCTTAATGGTTCTGGCAAAGGTGCTTTGCTTGCTGGCTAATACGTGGCAAAGAAAACAATTGCAGAAAAGGGAATAGAGATGAGAAAAAAGAAGGAAACCCATGTACCTTCTCTGCACCAAACTTGCGAGTTTCACATCTTGATGGATCTGAGGGCCATTAAAGTCATAAAAAAAAAAAAAACTCAAGTCCCTAAATTAACAGGCTTTAACATGAAACTTCTTTAATGCAATAGAAAACTGTTCCCATTTCCCACCCTTTACCACCCTACCATGTCCCCCCCTTCCTCCCCACAAAAACATAACACGATGAAAAATACTCTAGTTTTAGAAAGAGAAAAACCAGCTGCTGGACAAGGGTGTTTTAAATTCAGTCTTGCCCAGTGATGACTAGAAGTCACTTCTGATTGAAGATTTCAATAGGACTGAGAGGATAGAGTCTAAAGTCAGATCTTTGGTAAGAATTTGGAATTAGCTTACTTTAATTTAGATATTAAGAAAACAAATTAATTTTAATTTTAAATTAGTCAAGATGTTAATCCCAAGAAATCTAAAAGCAATTTATTTGTTGATTCATTTTTGTGGTGCTAATTGGATATAAAAAGGCATGCAATTATTACCCATATTCCCATAGCCAAGTGAATGAAAAATCATCTCCCAAACCCCTTGTTCCTGGTACCTTTTCAAGTAGGTTGATACATAGGTGGAAGGAGCAATTGTCTGTGGAGTTTCATTTCCCTTTGCTTCATCCTTCCACAGCTGCCGAGTATAGGAGCCACTCCTCACTAGATTAACAGCTGACTCTCTGTAGAGGCATGAAAGAAAAACAATCCAAACACTGATTCCTACCATCAGTTTTGTCCATGATACAATGCACAAGGGGAGAGAAGAGCCAACAGCAAACTGTAACATGGCTAAAGAAACAGATACATCTTTCCAGTGATTCTGTTTTATATATACCTGTTTTCTGTACAAAGGATGACTATTACTGTCTGTTTTCTTCTAACAACTTCAAAGCCAACTAATTTCAACAGGTACCAAATTCCTCATATCAAAGGTCCTTCATCCTTTTGTAAAGAGAAGTCACTTTAGTTCCTTGTTTAAAAAGCACCTTGTAATCAGTCCCCAGTAGTAGGTTACTCATAAGTTAACCAGAGAAGGGACGGGTGAAAAAGTGAAGTCTGCCACCATGGAAAAAGGTTTCTACAGAAGGAGAAAGGAAAGAAGACTTGTTGGGAGCCTCTTTAGCATTATAAATTAGAAGGCATCAAGGAAGGGGCTGTAGTAGGATTTTGGATCCACAGACATTCTATCTTTGCTGGGTGGAGGACCATACTGTGAGAAGAAAGGTTCTAGATTAGGTTCTGCCCTGAGATGCAGGAGTACTTCAAAATCCCTGTATTGCTTTTAACTGGTGAGGAAGACTTTAAATTTTATCTACTTACAAATTATAAATTGACCAAGTAAATAATATTTTTAGTGTTTTCTATATGATAAGCAGAGTGCTAGGCACTAGAGGTCTTTAAGCAATCACACAGACATAGACTCTATCTTTATAGAGCCTGCTAGGGGAATAAAACTAACCCACAATTTGGAAGGGCCAGGGAGGATGTCCTACAAACAGTAACATCTAGATGGGCTGGGAAGCATTCTCAGCAGAAGGAACAAATAATTCATAACATGCTAAGGACACCTACAGGAAGAAGGCAGAGGTATAATGGCCACGAGATCATTATGCCCAGAAGAGTTAAAGGAAACCATCTTCTGGTCTGTGCTATGATTACCTGTTCTCCTTTTCTTCAATGTCATTTGTGCTACTGAGCCTCCGGGATGCTAGTGAACTAAAGTAGCTTTTGTTTTCTCTTTCCTGTAAAATAAAAAAAAGCAAAGCACAAGAAAGGTACAATACTGATCCAGCATAGAACAATTTGGCTAAAAAAGCAAGAACTAATCTACCTATATAGTCTTATATCTGGTTCCACACTAATGCCATTGTGAGTGATATTAAAAAGGGTAGCTTTCAAAAGCTTATTCCTAATCACTCCATTAAAATCTCATAGGCAGTGAAATAATTCTCATAAGAAAAGTAAGGATAGACAACGGTAGCACAAATTACACAAAGCAGTAGTCCTGCCTTTGAAAAGTCACGGAGCGGGCTAGGGTTGTGGGAGAGCACTTGCCTAGCATGTGTGAGGCACTGGGTTCAATTCTCAGCACCACATATAAATATATGAATAAAATAAAGATCCATAATGTCTAAAAAAAATTTTTTTAAAAGTCATGGAGCTCTCCTCACTATTCTTAATCAAATAAGTCTATTGAATCGCTAGCATATCTTTTCCTTAAAATGCACAAAAGATATGCTGCAGAATTAATCCAATATGCCTTTCCTCTTCAAGTATTCTCCAGAAGTACAAGACAAAACAAGAGGACTATGATTATAAGGAAGATCTGATCCAGAAAAGGCTCTAAGTGAGCCCTATAAAATCTGGAACCAAATTCGTCCCTGATGAATACATAGAGGAATTATTTATGGTGTTAGCTTGATCATATGTCTATGAATTAAAAAAATTACAAGTGTAAAAATGTTTTTTCTAAATCCTAATGTGCCTGAGCTTCATTAGGATTCAAAGCCCAGCTAAGGAACTTTGCTTCTAAACATCAAAAGAGTGAAGTTTCTGGTATTGGTTCAAAAGAACCTTTTGAGCCATATCCAATTTTCTCTGATCCTCTATTTTACTCTAGATAAGAAGGTAAGCAAGAATGAACATATAAGTCAAAAGAAGAAGCTATATTTAAAATTTATTTTCTTTTTTGACCAAGAGAATAATAGCAAGCAAATAGCAACTTGATGATACTATCAATGTGTCTGTCTCCTTCCTCAGGTGTTATAGTTCTACATTCCTCTTAGAGAATAGAAAATATTTTCATTATTCCCAGGATTGAATTTTCATGAAAGAAAACTGCTTGGAATTCTCCCACATCCTGCTGGAATTGCACCTTATCTTTGTTGTCCAGCAGAGCAGAGATCCGAGGGCTTGAAGAGGAGCGGTAGATGGAAGAGCCTCGATCCCTTAGGCCTTCTCTGGAATTGGCCACTTCACTCAGCATGTTGTGACTGCCAGTTTTTTTGAGTCCCAATCTCCATGAAGAAGGAGATTCATCTTTGGCCTCTTCTGGCTTGTTAAAAAGGCTGGAGGAGAACTATGAGGGAGGATGCAAAGAAAAGAAAAAAGCAAGGTCCTGATGAGCCTTCTGTTTGCGCCTATTTGCCCTTTCCATGCTTAACAAAGTTCAGTGAAGCAACTAAGGCAGCACCAGAGAACAAACACACGGTGGGCTGTCTGCCAATGTGCCCTCCTCACCTAGAGGACGCTTATCACCTCTCAAGGCTCTCTTTCTCCCTAAGCCAGAAATAGCCTCCAATTCTCAGCACAGTTCTCCTCCCTGACAGATTTGTTCTGAGAAATAAAAAACCATTTGCTCTCCTTAACTGACCTGGAGTAGTGATATACAGATGAAGAGGTAGTGATACATCTTCTCTTGACTCACTGGGTAACTGAAAATAAGATATTTCACTTCTTAGGTCTCAACATGCTCATCTGTAAAATGGTGATAATGAGTTTAATTCCTCCATATGATATGTGGAGTTTGAAAACACAAGAGAGCTAATGTGTAAATATGTCTGAAGGTACTATATGTGATAAGCTGATTTAATACTAATAAAATATCAGAGGCTCCTCCACACAAATTCTAAATGCCAACTTCAAAAGAACTTATTTGATGTTGGATAGCAGTTCCAAGAATTTTAGATTTCACTGACCACAAAATTTAAAAAGAAAAACTTTAAAGGTCAAAGGTTTCTACCTTTTTTCTTTTGTCTGGAGAGAAAATCTTTCAAAACATGAACAGCTCACCATCACTGTCATATTAAAAAGAAGAAGGAATTTTTAATTTTAGAAAAGAAAGTTTCACGCCTGGGGCTGTAGCTCAGTGGTAGAGCACTTGCCTAACACGTGCAAGGCTCTGGGTTCCACCCCTAGCACTGCATTAAAAAAAGGAAGCTTCATAAAAAGCTTACATTATCTTTAATTATAAATCAGGGAAAATTCATAGACTAGCATTAGCCCAAAGACCAGTTTAGGGTATAATTGGTCTTTGGAACACTATCCAACAGCTCCTTCCTAGGGTCTGGGAAACTTTGCAAAGTCATCTTTACTGCTTGAAATAGTGAAAATGCAGTACAAATGTTAATGCATTCATCTCCAACTCATGCTCAGAGTTTTCTCTTCATTGTCACGTGAGTACATACATTTATATACTCCTTCCTTTTTATAAGTTACCCTAATTCTTAGGGAATCTTTCCCCCTTTCACAGTATTATTCAGCAAAGTGGAATCAGTACTGCATGTGTTTGTATTTTTAAAAATTTATTATTTTTCTTTTTGAAAATTAGGAAGTTTAGCTGAGTGCTGTGGTGCACACCTATAATCAGCAACTTGGGAAGCTGAGGCAGGAGGAACAAAAGTCCAAAACCAACCTGGGCAACCTGGTGAGAGCCTGTCTCAAAAAAGGACTGGGAATATAGCTCAGTGGGAGAGCACCCATGGGTTCAATTCCCAGTAGAGCAAAAAATTAAAAATGAAATAAAAATAAAAACATAGGAAATCTAGTCACAACTAGAAGCAGTGACAGTATGTGAGGTACAACCAAGTGATTATATTCTATTTGAAGCCTGTGTAATGATTCACAATGATGTTTCTAGGAATAAATAAGTAGCCAAGACTTGTTCTCTCATTTCCACAAGGACACCAGAAGCCCATCTTTCCAATTCATGAGGAAATAAGATCAATAAGTTAATATCTCCAAAACCACACAGTTTTTTCAACAGTTCTATTCCAAAGAATTTGGATCAATTCTTAACTTCAAAACCAGTTTTGCACTTTGTAGAATGGATCATCATTCAGCTCTGTCTCACTGACTAGGAGCCTACAGATTCTTAGTTTGTGTAAAGTTGTAACAGGAAGTGCTCCTGAAATTTCAACATGTTCTTTCTACTTCTGCCCTTTACCCATCATAAAGTATAAAGACATGAAAACAAAGTTTTAGAGAGAAGTAGAAAAAAGAGAATAGTCATCAAAGCAATTATTTTTGGATGCCAGATATCTTCCTAAACCTGTCTAAAGTTTATATATAGTTACCTTAACCTTGGATGTGAAAAAAAACAGGAAATGACTTTTTTAAAAAAATGTTTTTGGTCCCAGACTATTCTATCCTATGTTATCTTAACCCATCTGTAGCCATATTTGGTGATGGTTTTACAAAAAGTATTTTTGGCAGTGTTATGCACTGATTCTTTGTGTCCCTACAAAATTCATATATTAAAGCCCTAATCCCCAATATGTCTTATTTGGAGATGGGGCCAGTGAGTAGGTGGTAATGGTTAAACAAGGTCAACAGAGTGGGTCTCTCCTCCAAGAGGGCTGGTGCCCTTATATGAAAAGGAAGAGACACCAGAGCTCCCTTTCTTTCCACCATGTTAGGACATAGCAAGAAGGTGGCCATCTTCGAGACAGAAGAGTCACATGGCTCATATACTGAATCCAGTATATTGGTCTGGGACTTCTCAGCCTTCAGAACTGTGAGGAATAAATTTCAATTGCTTACATCAACCAGTGTGGTATTTTGTTCTAGGAGAGGACTAAGGCAAAAGTATATCTTTATTTTTTTCAAGAACATATCTTTGAGTCCTTTCTAAATATGTATTATTGCAGGAGGGTGAAATATAATACCCAAATAATTCCAAAGTACTCACTCTCCTAGCAGAAGAGGCAGAGAAGGTATTCTGAGCTGGTGTTGGTATCTGCTCCATGACACTACTCTTGCTTTCAGAGTTGGAATGGTTGACGGTGGCTTCTGGCTTTTTATCTGTTATTTAAGATAAGAGAAGTAACAAGTCCAAGTATGAAAACCATACCTTTGTGTGTCTATGTTCTTTTCTGCTAACAGAAAAGGCTTGTTATCAGAACAGATTTTAGGGCCATGTAATATTAAACTCAAACTAAGATGAACTCTCCAGCCACTGTGGGCAGAAGAAAATAAACTCAACAGTATTCCCATCTTGTATCTTTGGCAGTGTTATGCACTGATTCTTTATGTAAGCTCCAACTCTAATTTCCAGATGAAAAGTGAAAATTGTTTCTACATTATCAGTAAAATCATATATAGAATTCATTAGTTACTACTTGGGAAGAATATGTGTTTGGGGGTTGCTTGGCAGGGAAAAAAACAAAAAGTGCAAGATAGACTTTGTTTTCTAGGTAATTATAATCAAAAGAGATAAGACTCTTTACAACGATAATAACACAATGTCATATAAAATTCAGGTACTAAAGTGGTTGATTCAGATCAACAAGTGCTAGAGAATTTCAGAGGAGGCAGATCCTCTGAGGGAAGAAACAGGGAAAATTGCTACATGAGTCAGGGTTCTCTAGAACAGAACCACAGAGGAAGCTGGAAGACAGTACCGACTGACAGGTGGAAGAGGAAGAAGGGGCATGAGTAATGGCTCAGAAATCAAAAGAAATACATCTGATGGTCAGCAAAATGGCCAGCCTACTTTAAATAGTGGGAATTCCTATGGTTACAATAGGAAATAAAGGTAAAAAGGGATTGGAGGGTGAGCTACAGAATAATATTATTGCTGAACTCACATAATATAAATGAGTGGTCCATATCGGTAGGGTTATCAATCAGAAAGCTTGTCTTTTTATTGCTACAAACTAAATAACTACCACTGTGCCTATGTCTAGTGAATTATGCACTGATTCTGATTTATGTGCTCTGGAAACAACCCCAAGAGTAACCTACTCATGAATTATGTGACAATTTTAAGCTATATCCTAACTGTGTGATACTAGAAAAGTTTACTTATATTTAAATCTCTATTTTCTCACTGAGTCTTACCTTGTGGGAATTATGATAAAGATTAGAGATTATGTTCTAAAACTGCATAGCTCATTGTCTGGCCACAGTAAATCCCTCATTTTTAAAAAAAATAATGTTATTTTTTTGAATTATTGTGAATATTCAAGGCATTCTTTAAATACTATCTGAGTATCTGTAGCCCTGAGAAATCCAGCTTACTAGCCAAATGTGACAGACTGTTACTGTAATAGCTCCCAACAAATCATGTCTCCGCGAATCCATACCCTTGTGCAAATCATGTCTCCATGAATCCATACCGTTTCTACATTGACTCTGGACTTAGCCAGGTGATTTGCTATGGCCATGGGAACATTAGCAAATGTGACAAAAGTTAAGTTTGAAAAGTGCCTATACACTGAGCTTTAGCCTTTGACTGCTTTTTGAAGCATTGCCACATGAAGAAGGAGAAGCTAAGTTGCTTGAAGATAGGAGTCACATGGCTCATTTGCACTAAACATCCTGCCATCTAGGACCTCATCCCTTTAGATGACTCATCAATTGACTATACAAACATGAGTGAACCCAGCATTACCATGAGGAGACACAAATCATACAGCTGAGCCCTTCTGAAATTGCCAATCCGTTGAATTTGGTACACATAAGGTATTACTGTTTTAAGCCACTAAGTTTGGGGATAGTTTTTACTCAGCAATAAATAATTGATTCACAAAATATTTAAGTCAAATAAATAAAAGGGGAAAAAGAAAAACTCTAATCAAAATGCTTATGTTCACCTCAAAATAAAATTAATATCTTTACTACAACATAAGACACATGAAAAATATCATATTAAAAAGTTGTATCTGTGGGTCTTTAAAATTAGGATAAATGCATTCAACAAGTATTAGTTTAGTACCACACAGGCAATATTTGGAAAGGTTTTGGTATAATGCACTTCCTTGCATTTTCCCCACATATTTACTGAGCACCTTAATAGAAGGCCATGTGCTAGGAACTATGGTACATAGCAAGTCCATCAAGAAACATTACTTTCAAGTGCTTCCAAAGCTTGCTGGTGGGGGAAGAGCAGAAAGGAAGAGCAACAAACCAAATAATTCAAATATTAAACATCAGGAAAAAAGTAATACACCAGACATTCAAACAATAGCTACAGGAATCAGGGGAGGGAAGAAAACCATATATTTATATGGTAGGGCTCCATAAAGAAAAAGTTGATTGGAGCTGGGATTTGGGACATGAGTGAAATTTCAGTTGGCAGAGAACTGCAGAAATGAGTAGGGAAGCTTGCTAGAACCATCTGGCTTCTGCCCACACCAGGCTAGTGAAACTGCTCTCTAGGATTACTAGTGACTTCCTAATTGCTGTGTCATCCTTCAGCTCTCCCTTCTCACTACAGCCCTGGTTTCTGAGGTAGAATGATGCATCCTGGTTTTCCTCAATCTCTCTGGTCACACCTTCTTTGCCTCCTTCAGTGATTCTATTTCACTTCCTTCCACTTCACATCCTAAGCACAGTATGTCAAGATTCTTTTTTGTATCTCTTTTCTCTAAAGTCTCTTCCTTAGGGATCTCATCCTTTTCTAATTTCATCTTTCACTTCTGTGCAGATAATTTGCACTGGTCCCTTACTTCTCTGAGGAGCTCCAGATCAAAACTATATGTGCTATCTATGAAACCTAATTCACCTAACCTCCTATGGTGTCAATTTCTCAATCTAAAAAGTGGTGATAATGATATATACCCCAGAGTGTGATTATGAGGATTAAATAAAAATGTTTAAATGTGTGTTGCAAAGTAAAATGCACTGCATATGTAAAGTTTTATTACAATTCCCTGAACTAAACATAATCTTTCTTACTAGTGAATACCAGTGATTGGATTAATCTCTCTCACATGGCATGTATTTTACTCATGTATATATGCCTTTCTATTCCCCTAACTAGACATATTCAACAAAAAACATTTAATGAATGTGAGTGCCTGCCATGTGCCAGGCATTGTGCTGAGACCTGGGGGCATAATAATAAACCCAGTGTTCCCAGCCAAAACAATGAGTGCTAGAAGAGAATTAAGAACATGGTGCTAGAGGGATACAAACAGGGGAGCAATACTGTTGGGTGGGAGAACAGAAAAGGGGTCTATTCTTTGCAGATTTCAGTTATCAGAAAAACCTAAAATATCACCATTTGAATCTGCTAGATCCTAAAGCTCCTAACAGAACTCACTAAACAAGCATCTGAAGGCCTGAAATAAATTTTAAAGTACAAATAAACATTCAACAGCAGGAGAGATCACAGCATGTTTAAAGAAATCGAGCAATATGGTCTGACTACAATATGTCCTTGCCTGTGTGTAGCACTGGAAAGATCAGCTGGAGATAGATTATGAAAGGCCTTGACAGCCAGGCTACAGAGTTTGGGACTTAGTCCGTAGGCAAAGGTGGAGTGAGGAGGTAGTTCTAGGTTTTGAATTAGGTACACAATAGTTATAAGGGTGTTGTAGGTATTTTACTCCAACAGCAGTGTGGAAGTGGGCTGCAGGGAATGAGATCTGGGGTAGTGGTACAAATCACAAGCAATGCCAGGAGTTCAAGCAGCTCCCTCCCATTTTTTTTAATACCTTAGTAGATATAGCATAGAGCAAACCCAATATTAATTCTGGGTAATATCTGAAAACTTGGCAATATGTCAATGCTCAATAGCTAATACAAAGGACAAAAAGAAACGCATTTATAAATCTTTTTAAGTACTGACACTGCATTTCCAGAGCAAGCTACACCTGATTAATAATAGAAATCCAAGTCTCAATGAATATAAGGTCATCTCCTATACTGCAAACCTAGCTGGTGTCTGTCTTCTCTATGGCACTGATGGACTCTAACCTCTGGTGACATTCAGTGAGCCTCAGATTGAAACATGAAGACAGGTGATATTCTCCCATGATTGACAGAAACCATATCAGGAAAGCCAGACATCATCAGAAGCTTGGGCCAAGACAACACAGTAAGTTAAATATCTTCATTATAGGTAGTCCAGCTACAACAGAATTCAGAGGAAAATACAGATTTCATTATAAACTTAATGGGTGGCCTCTTCCCCTCTAACTTGGTTTTCAAGCTGGAAATGTCATTTTTTTTCATGAACTCAAATCTGGAGGGATAATGTGCCAATGAATGCAGGGCATATGTGCAATTAAAATCTTATCTTACCATTTCTTTCCAATTATCTATGAGAACCATTCTTTGCAGCTGAATTTCTATTCAGTAAAATCCTGCTTATTATTTCTCAATGATTGCCGGCCTTTACAAAACCAAACCTATAGGCTATTTTATAGCTTAATGATCTGACCATGTTCAGCACCTCATTCTCATTTTTAGGGCTCCTGTCTTGTCAATAATAAACTTAAGAATCTCCATATGAGATGTACAGTTAGCCTTCCATGGATTCAACTAACCATGGACTGAAAATAATTCAAGAAAAAAAATGTATACATATTGAATATGTACAGACTTTTTCCCCATCATTATTCCCTACAATACAGTGTAACAACTATTTACATAGCATTTATATTGCATTGTATATTATAAGTAACTTAGAATTATTTGAAGTACACAGGAGGGTGTGCATAGTTTATAAGCAAATACTGTGTCGTTTTAAATAAGGGACTTAAGCATCTAAGAATTTTGATTATCTACAGGGGTCCTAAAACCAATTTCCCAGAATACCTGGGAAGGACTGTACTGTTATCAATGCAAGTCATATAGGGCCTGTAATCCCAATGACTCGGGTGATTGAGGCAAGAGAATCTCAAGTTTAAAGCCAACTTCAGCAACTTAGAAAAAAAAAGGAATGGAAATGTGGCCTGGTGGTTAAACACCCCTGGGTTCAATCCCGACACAAAAAGAAAAAAAAAATGATAAAGATAAGCCAGGCATGGTGGTGCACACCTGTAATCCAAGCTATTCAGGAGGCTGAGACAGAAGGATCACAAATTCAAGGTCAGTCCTGGCAACTTAGTGAGATCCTGACTGAAAAAATGAAAGGGCAGGAGTTTAAGTTCAGTGTTAGAATGCCCCTGGGTTCAATTCCCAGTATTACCCCTCCACTAAAAAAGAATCATAAAGGTAAATATGATATTGTTCCTTTCTTAATCCTCTATTCAGGACCTGAAGGAACATTATATAATAAGGACAAGGATGGGGGACGGGGGGTGGGGAGGGTGGTCGATTTTAGGATTCTGTTTAGGGAATCAAACTAACCTGAGAACTAAGTACAAATTTTCACCAGTTCATCAAAAGTATTTGACCCAAAGAGACATAGTGACTTTTTGGAATCTGATCTTGATGCTATTTACAAATTCAAGGTTAGGACAGCTGGCTCCCTCACACAGAATTCTCTGGGCACCTTACTACATGGCTGCATAGAAACTGGAAGATATAGTTTAACAGAGCTCACAGCTTTTATAAACAAGTTGTCACCAGCAATTTGATCTCTTTTCTTTGAAAACTAAATTTGCAGTGCCTTGAGGCCTGGCCAGCTTTCTGACAAGCAGTGGAAATGGAGGATCTTTGCATTACCTGCCTCCTTCTCAGTTTCTGACTCAGAAGCTTCATCTTCACCTTCCTCTTCCTCTGAACTAGAGCTGCTGGATTCTTTATTTTCTTCCTCCATTTCTTGGGACTTAGGTGTCTCTTCCTCATATAGCATCTTCTCTTTGCTAAATTAAAGACACAAGTTGAATGTAATTCAGAAGTAATGACAACAGGTAAAATAAAGAGAACAAATCTATAGACTATAATATATAGAGAGGCAATAGTAGAAATATATTTAGATCCTTCTTTATATCTATGTGTTCATCTGAACCCTGGAGTTTTTTTTTTTTTTTTTGCAGATTAAGGTGTAGTACTGACTCTTGAATATGACTCGAGGAGATCTGGCCTGTTCAACATACAGAAAAAAAGGAAACCATGACTTGTGATGATGGGTAGATATAAAAAAACAAAAACTAACAGATGCTTACTCACAACTTATTACATGCCAGGAATCATGCTAGGCACCAAAACAGTGGTAAACAACAGAACTTACAGTGCATTTATGGGAATAGGTGGGACTAAGAACCCTCAAGCTAGGATAGAAGAAATGCTGCATGCATGCAGTCTTCATTAATTTCTAAGTTTAAAGCACATTCACCTATTCTCAGTGTTTTTCACCTATATCAATGCCGTCTCCCTGTCCCCTAAACTTTTTAACATGTTTGAAGATGATCTGACTAAAACAAACATAGTTTCTTCATCATATAAATTCTCAGGGTCAGTCTGATATATTAGAACACAGCTTGAACCCATTCCTCAAGCCCAAGTATCTTACTTCTTAAAGAGTCCACTCTGCAACTTGCTGTTCAGGTCTGACTCAATGAGTTTATTTCGTGTCTCCTTTTCACTTCGAAGCTGAAAATTGATAAAATAGAGAAAAGGAAAAAAGTTGACTACTGGTGAAAAATCAGCAGTATTAAGAAGAACCCAATGGCACTATCATCCTGAAGAAGACAGAACCCACACTAAAGTAGGGGAAAAGAAACTGCAAAAAAGAGAAACACATCAGCTGGGTCTCCTTAGGAAAAAATGACAGAGGAAAATCCTCATCCAGATTAGACAAGAAAAAAACATGGTGTTAACGCTTCAAGAAAACTTCCTGCTTCAAATACCCAAATCCCAAAAAAACCTAGCTTCTGAAGAACAAAAGGCCAGCAGCAACTTGGAAAGAATTCTATATGATCAATAAGTTGACAATAACTCTAAAGAAAACACAGGTACCAAAATGGGAAATTAGCCCTTAGAATGATATTTAGATGCATGCTCTAGACAATATGTATTCTATCCCTAGAGCCTAAAGTTATGTAGGAGACATGGGTATGAATCATTATCATAATTATAGAAATGTTATTCAGTGACAATATTATTTAGGCTCAAAAACATAACAATGTTTGGTAAAGAATTTATAGGAATCTTCTCTATGATTTTTGTAATTTCTTCGTGAATGAAAAATTATTTCAGAATAAAAAGGTTTTAAAAACCTAACTATGCAAAGTATACATCTTATATTAGGAAGACTGTTGCTGCTATATAACAGGAAAGCCACTGATTTTTTTTTTTTTTTTTTTTTTCCTATTCTACCCTGTGGTCACTGATCTTTATTCTCCTCACCAAATTACTCATCCCCTTTGTGGGGAGTAAATGTGACACATTCATTCTTCATCTCTTTATTGGAGGTGGTTTTCCATGCTGCAGTTTGTGCATGGGCACCAGGTGTGTGTAGCACTAAGCAGAATGGTACAGGTAACCAAACCAAAAAAAGATTTAAAATGAAGAGGAAGGAGAAGAGGACTGAATTTTGGATGTTTCATGGAATCTAGAATAAGTATGAATCACTGACCAATACTGTCCAATACCAAATAACTGTTTTATCATTTTATATTTGTTAAGAAAGATAAATATTCCTCTTTATAATCAATATGCTTTAAATTATATACTTTTAGTTAATAAGAGAAAGAAAAAATTATGAGTCCTGCATTCTAGTATTCATTTGGAAAAAAAGCTCTTAATTTGAACATAAGCATTTTCTAGAACTCAAGTGTAGTGTTTTTTTTTTGTTGTTGTTGTTGTTTGTTGCTTTCATCTGCTTAAAGGATATCTTACAACAAGCAAACTTTAACAACAGTGGTTTCTAGAATACTTTCTTCTAACAGACTCTTGATAGTTCCTGAAGGAAACAATGAATATCTCTGGAATGCGGAAATGTCCAGTTCAGTTCTCAACAGACATAATAAAAGCAAGCAACTGTGATACCCACTGTAGACCGCAAACTGCTAGAAGATCTTTCAAAGTATGAAATAGTGACTCACCACATTCTGCTTCTTCTGGAGCATCTCCAAATGTTCCACAAGACCCTCATCAGCCACATCAAATGGCGTCTGACCCTGGGAGAGAAAAGGGGCACAATGACTGATAGAAAATAGAAGCAGTTATTATGTACCTTTATTTTATCAGGGACTATGCAATATTCACTTTCTGCCTTAGATTCCAATGATACAGGCTGAGTATCCCTTATCCAAAATGCTTAGGACCAGAAGTCTCTGAATTTTTTTCAGATTTTGGAATATTTGCATATACATAATAAGATATATGGAGGATAGGATCCAAGTCTAAACACAAACATCATTCATTCTTCATATACAACTTGTACATACAGCCTGAAGGTCATTTTATACAATATGTTAAATAATTGTGTGCTTTAAAGGTGTGGAATTTTCCACTTGGGGCATTATATTAGCATTCAAAAAGTTTCAGATTTTGGAGAATTTCAGATTTTAGATTTTTGGATTAGGGACGCTCAACCTGTAGGTGCTTTCCAGATTAATCTACCCTACTTTATGACAGGCCTTCATCTATTACATAGGAAACTCTGTAAGAAACAGCAAACCCATTAAGCAGAGAGCTTCATATTGTACAAAACAGTATTGAGGAAATATCACCACATCATTTCTAATGTTTATTGCCTGTTGGCAAATAATCAAGGGAAACCTCTACTTGTACCTACTCTAAAAAAGGTCTTAATTACAATGATGAATTTAATAAGGGCTCTTAAAAACCTCTGGGGGAGGTTCAGAAACATGTGCACCAAAGATAAGTCACAGAAATCATCTCCCTTTAAGTAACAAAAGGGCAGATAGGAAGGTTTTCTCTTTTAGAAAACATCAGCCCAATTAAGGACTCTGACCTATAGTCTGAGAATGAAACCAGGACCCAAAGGAGACGTGAGGCAGATAAGAACATCTACTAATTAAAGAGTCCAAACCAGGTACAGTGCTGCATGCCTGTAATTCCTGCAACTTGGGAAGCTGAGCAAGAGGATCACAAGTTCAAGGCCAGCCTAAACAACTTAGCAAGACCTTCAGCAACTTAGTGAGACTCTGACTCCAAAAGACTGGGGGATGTAGCTCAGTGGAAAGGCTCCCTGAGTTCAAATCCAGTACGAAAAAAGAAAAAGAAAAAAGAAAAAAAAAGTCCATTATCTCTGGGTTCTTAGAAAATTAGGAGACAAGGATTGGAATTCAGGGCTTCTAAGATGCTTGAAGTGAGGCTGAATAAGGCTATTTTCAGCCAAAACTCAAAGTTCTTTGTTATTGTAACATTGTTAAATGACTCAATGTGAATAGAGCTCAGCTGTTAAAAGAATGATTTGAAAAATAACAACTCTTCCATACTTCACTATAAATAGTGGCCTTAGGTTTCTGAAAGCCTTTTTTTTTTGCCAAGTTTGTTTTAAGGGCTTCACTAGGTTAATGGGGTTTTATTTCATGTAGCAACACTTCTCTGTGTTGATAATGGGTGAGGGCAGGCAGGTGAGGGCAACATCACAGTTACCAGGGATGCACATTTCTCCAGAGCAGTCACCTTGTTCTAGGCCATTTTGTTCTAGAGACTCAACCACCAACCTTATTGCGTTTTAGAGATTCAGACTCACTAACCAGTTTGTTCCGGATATCCATGTCACAGAGTGCTTCTGCCAGGATGGAACAAGCCTCCTTCACTCCCCAGTGTGCTGCTGCATGGAGGGGAGTCCAGCCATCAAGATCCTGAACGTTGAGTTCGTAGCCAGCCTGAATTAGAAGTCTAAGAAGAAAACCCCAAATATTACATTTCTCTTTTCAATTTTACAATTTTCTGTCAAAAAAGCTGAAGGTCATTTTATACAATATGTTAAATAATTATGGGCTTTAAAGATGTGGAATTTTCCACTTGGGGCATTATATTGGCACTCAAAAAGTTTCAGATTTTGGAACATTTCAGATTTTAGATTTTTGGATCAGGGATGCTCAACCTGTAGGTGCTTTCCAAATTAATTGATTTTCAGATTGAGCCCTGAACTACAGGGATTCATTCTATGATTACTTCTGCCCTCTAAGGCATAGCTATGGTTTCATAATTGCTACTTTGAGCATAAATCATAGATGATTTTTAACTGAGCCCCTCAAAAAGGTCATTTGTATGGTATTTCCTACACATATCCATGTATATTGTATAAGGGGAGTGCAAAGATAGGTGGGTACCTGAGACTAACAAAAACCTAATTCAATTAACCAAGTCATACAACTCTATTATAGAATGTGCTCTCTATTCTCCAGGACAAGGAGAAATTAACATAAAACAAGGGCTCATATTTCTTCAGGATACTTTCTGGTTGGTCTTTCCACAATATCATAGGTTTACTACAGAATCTCATACCTTCTACTCTACAAGAGTATCTGCAGACACTCACTTTAAAGCTTTAATCTAACTGTAACCATGTTATACATGTAAAGATATGATTCCAGAAGTCCCAAATTGCACTGAGCTGGCTGAGGCCCTTTATTGTGGAGCTCCAGAAATCTTCCAAGAATTGAGCACAGTATGGATGTCACACTTGGACAGACATGGAGTACAACACACTGTCACATCTATTAGAAACCCCATATTAGGTTGAATATAGAACACTGAAGGAGTTTGGCAGCAATGGCACACACAGTGTCTTCAGCAACCCACGTTTTGGGGAAAACCTTTCAACTCTAAGCACCAAAAGCTACATAAAGCACAGATGTAAGAAAAACTGGAATAGATATAGTAGAATCCAAATCCCTCATGTAAGTTTGACTATTCTAGACACTGCATATTCAAGATCTGTAAGATTGATCTAAAGAGTCCCAAGAAATTATTTAAGTCAAGAAGGACCAAAATGATCATAGGTCCTGCATTGCAGGTCCTAAGAGGAGAAAGTTGCAGGGGAATTAATGACAAATTCATAGAATGGGACAAGGTCTGTGTATCTTAACTCTTTTTCATATATCATACATATCAGTGAAAAGCTAGAGGGATGGCAGGAGGGAGGTAGACTATCTGTGGCCTAATATCAGCAAAATATGGGGTGGGGGAACAAAAAACTGCATGATCAACAAAAAAGGAAACACATCATAGTTGAAAATCTAATTCACCTTCGGCATTCAAAACTCATCTCATCTCATCCCAGTAAACCAAACTACTGATTGATATACAGAAACAATACCTGAGCACTTCAGAGTAGCCCTTGGCAGCAGCCACATGGAGGGCTGTGGCTCCTGAGCGGGCCTGCCTCACATCCTCTATTTTCCCACTGTTGAGCCACTGGCGGGCATCCTGTAACATCTGTTGCTCTTCTTCCTTTCTTGACTGCTCTAGATCAACTCCTATAGAAGTAATACATCAGACAGCCAGCATTACTAAAACTCTACTCAAGTCTAACAGGTTATTTTCCTTAGATTCAAAACACATCATAAATATAACCACAGATAACAGTTTAATTATCAAACTGGATAGTATCAAATTTAAGAAAGCAGCTGAATTTGCACACACATTAATGGTCTTACCAGGTTAAATCATCAGGCTAAATATTATGTGATGCAGATCCATTGAGGAAACATGCCTAAATCATTTTCAACAGAACATAAAAATCAGAGGGGATATTATTTTTACTTATAATATTTGCACAAAGCTATAAACTTCAAGGTTCTTTTATATTATATCATTTCAGTTTCCAAACAATTCTTTGAAGTGAGTATAATATCCCCATTTACCACATAAGGAAATAAACATGAAAAGTTTCAATGCCTTGCTTAAAACTACAAAACACATTAGTGATACTAGAACTCTGAAATACTTGATCCCTGTCTGTTTTTCTTTTCCACTCATTACACCAAAAGGTTAGTATTAAAGATGCTGGTTTCAGGTATGACATATTTTAAAATAAACTATCTCTAAAGCTTGTTTCCATATACAGAAAAATACAGTGACCTGAAGCTATACATAATACTTCAGAGATGAGTAGGTGATCTGCAGGCTAAAAAAACAGTCAAAAGCATGATGGAGGAACTTCCAAGAATTCCTCCCTTTAGCCAACCACTCTCCAATACCCATGCCAATGAAGAAGGGCTGAGATGGGGCACTCCCTGATATATAAATAATGAAATGTCTCAAATATAAACATACCCATTCAAAGAGTTCCACCTTCATTATCAGTCTTTTCTGTGCTTGGTCTGCTCCCTTTCTACTCTTAAATGAAAACCTGGGAACTACCTAAGTATTATCTCTGTCTAATCTGGGGAGAGGAAGGGGTAAAGAACAGACCAGAATTCCACACACTATAAGGGGAGTTAACAGTGCTACAAAGTTAGGCATACATATGAATGTCTATTCCAACAGAGTATAATCCTTAACCGAAGAGTCAACAATCAAAATAGGAAAAGTAGATTCTCCAACCAAAACTACTTTAAAAACTGGTTTGTTTAAAAAATTATCTGTAAATTGTAAAACATATTGTAGAAGATGCAACTGAGTGAGATGGGAGGGTAAACAGCACCAAAGCCTTCAATTCAATAGGGCACAAAACTATATGTAGAAGGCAATAAAAACAATAGTTGTTGACCTAGAACATCATTATTTTAAGGTAGGTTTGCAATATCCTTTCTATAAAGGGTCAAATATTAAATATTTTTGGGTTTGCTGGCCATCTGGTATATTAGAACTACTCAACTCTGTGGTATATATACAATGGAATAGTACTCAGCCATAAAGAAGAATGAAATTATGGCATGGATGGAACTGGAGACTCTCTTGCTAAATGAAATAAGCCAATCCCAAAATACCAAAGGTTGAATGTTCTCTTTGATATCCAGATGCTAACTCACAATAAGGAGGAGAGGATAGAAGTTCACTGGATTAAACAAAGGAGAATGACAGGAAGGGAGGGGGATAGAAATAGGAAAGACAATAGAAAGAATCAGACATAACTTTCCTATGTTCATATATGAATACATGACTAGTTAACTCCACATATTATACAACCTCAAGAATGGGAAGTCATACTCCCTGTATGTCTGATACACAAAATACATTCCACTGTTATGTGTAACTAAAAAGAACAAACAAACAAACAAAAAGAACTACTTAACTCTGCTACTGTAGCACAAAAGCAGCTTGTAAACGAATGGGCATGGTCAGATGGCCCTGACTGCTTTAAAGGGTCATAACAGAAAAGATCCCTTGAGCTAAATCCTTTGGGATAAACTACAGATTGTGGGTCTGGTTGTTTACCAACTCCCTTTCCCCAAAACCAAAACAAAACAAAAACAGTACTGCAAATCACATCTAAAGTTTTGTGACAGTTCTAGCAGAATTCCCTAAGACCTGTTCTCCTGTTCTCTGCCTAGTGTTATTCAACATTTTTAAATTAAAAGAACCCAGAGACCTTTAGTAGGAGAATCCTACCCCATTCCCTGGAATGAATTCTTCTAAAACTATCAAAACAAACAAAACAAAAAACCTTTTTAGAGCATATTCTTCTAAATTATATTCCTAACTTGATTAAACTACCAGAATAATTTTAAGATTAATATAAAAATCATTTCAGAAATTACAATAAATATATTTTACTAGTATCAACTTCTGTTCTCAAGAAAAAAGATGCAAAGTTACAAAATGAATGTGGCCACACTGTATCCCATCCCTTTTTTTGAACTCCACAATGTGTAGCAAATCTAACAACATATATGCACTGATAAAAAAGTTCACACTCCTCTTCAGGTCACTTCTACCTATCCAGTGAGTATACAACCTCAGAATGGCAAAAACCAGGAATGACTAGCCATTCTTTTGGCATTTCGCCTATTCTTGTTGAGTTGTTACATGATGTTGGTAATTGATTAATGCTGTGCAGACAGATCTAATCCTTTCCTGTTATATGATAATCAAAAGTTTTAACCAACAAAAAGAATTATGTTCTACAGGGGGCAGAGAGTCCCTCTGGGCCCAGCATAGTCTCTAGGTTACCTTGCTTCTTTACTTGCTCCAGAAGAAGATCCTTCATGGCTGGCTCTTCTGCAAGGTCAGAAGGGACCTCACCTTCACTATTCACCATACCCACACTGGCTCCATGGTTAATGAAATACCTGTGCAACAAGACTCAGGATGAATATTATCTCTGTCAATCTAATATTAATTTATACTTGTGCATATGGAGTTCTGTGTAGAGCAAGGCCTATTTCAGGGCTTTAAATATGGCCCCAAATAAGGTGTTTCATTATTAATTTTCAACTTCATTAGCCTTTAATAATTAGAGCTGGAAGTTTCTCCATTTCCTGACAAGAGCAATGTCAATAGTAAGATTTCTTTCATAGTCATATACCTAACTCCCAGTCTCTCTCTCACTCCAGTGGACAGCAAGAAGTTTCTAAATACCATGTAGTCTTTAAAACATGTCCACCATCTCAGAAGTCCAAACAGGGTTTCCAAAAGGACTTACTTTGCATTTAATATTAGGAATGAAAGAGAGCCCCTAAAAGCAAAATAAATAAATAAATCTAGTGAAAACTTCCAAGTGCACACTGGAGTTTACTAAGTAGTACTGTGGATGTGAAAATAGAAAAATAAAGTATGCATTAAAATTTGCACAAATCCTCTTAAATCATATATCCACAAAACTTTCCCTTCAACAAATCATGTATGTGAAATTTTCTGTACTTTTGGAGGAAACTAAATCACTGAAGAAGAAACATTAAAATGATAAATGGTGAGATTCTAAATCCACATAGAATACTTAATCCCAAAGAAGAAAAAACTGATAATTTCAATACCTTACATGGGTCCTTTTTTATTCTCAAAATGATTTCACACACACACACACAAAATCATGAATCTTAGGCATGAAGTAGGCAATGTAGTTATTACTAATCCTCCTTTAAGTAACTGAGGCTCACACATATTAAGTAATTTTCTCAAAATCACATAGCTGGAAAATAGCAGAGGCTACGGCCCCAATCTTTGAATTCAAGTCTAATTCACCTTTTCTCCAGAACAAACTACTTCAGAGCCAGTGAGAATCCAAATAATGTTGGGAGCTCCAGCAAATATTCACAGACACTTAAAGGGAAAGAAAAGCTGCAAATTAGACTTTAATTCATTGAAAAATTAATAAACGTCATTGGTCAGAGAACCATACTTTAGGCACTGTAGGAAATTTTTTAAAAATAATATATGGGTCAGGCGTTGTGGCACACACCTGTAATCCCAGCAACTTGGGAGGATGAGGCAGGAGGATCACAAGTTTGAGGCTAACCTCAGCAACTTAGCGAGGCCCGAAGCAATTTAGCAAGACCCTGTCTCAAAATACAAAATAAAAAGGGTTCAGGATATGGCTCAATGGTAAAGCACCTCTGGGTTCAATCTCCCAATAACCCCCCTCCAAAATCTATGTATGGTCACTACATTCAAAGAATTGACAAAGGAGGAAAAAATCTATAAAAATTAGATTAAGACCATGATTTTTCTTTCTCAGTGCCTAGTAGCTGGTTTGACAGGGCCTCAGTAAATGTTTGTTAATTTATAATCAATTCCACATATGTAAAACTTAAAGGTATTCACAATTCATCTAATTTTCAACTGTCTTCTTCCTTCTCTCACAGCCTTAAGGGAAGACAGACCTTATTCAATTCCAGAGTTAACTCCCTCTATCTGCATTCTTAAATCTATCAAATATCACTATTCTGTCCATCAGTTTCTCTTTTTTACTTCCCCATATTCAATGGCTCCTCTCTTCTGGTTCCTTCCCTTTTACATACCCCCACCCTGAAAAATCATAATACAAATAATATACATAATAAGCACATACTAAATGTTTGTTGGGACTAAACTATAAACAAAATCCTTATTATTCCCAAACACACCCCACTCTCACCCAGCTCTCCTCCTTAGTTCAGTGTTTCCTCCACTGGACGGAACACAATTTCTTCTTCTCAAGCCTTTGCCTCTTCTCACTAACTGAATTCTCTCTTGCCTTCCTCTCACACCACCCCACACTGCAGCTCGATGAGACCACAGGAGCACTCAAAGCAATGTGAGGGCCACAACTGTGCCCTCTTCACTGTCTCTATTTTCCCTTATTCTCCTGTTTTAGGGAAAAAAGTAAAACTTCTTTAGTTTTACACTTTTACCTGAACAAGAATAAATGTCAACCTATGAAATAGTATCTACTTTACCCTAAGGATCCTTATAGGTGTCCAGAGGCTCAGAAATAACTATTAGCTCAATATATATGTCCTTAGAAAATAAAGCCTTCCTATTCTTTCTAATGCATTACTGATAAAAGGCCTTTTTGCTACTTTTTATGGGAGGAAAGAAAGGAAATTAAATGTAGCATCCCAATAAACTATAAAGCCAAACTAAATGTTTCACCCTTGGGTCAATCTGCTATTTCTAAGTTAAACAAACACTATTGATAATAAAAATCTAATACCCAGGGCTGGGGTTGGGGGTCAGAGGTAGAATGCTCGCCTACCATGCATGAGGCACAGCCCTGTCTCAAAATACAAAATAAAAAGGGTTCAGGATATGGCTCAATGGTAAGGCACCATTTTAGGCACCAGTTTGAAATTAACAAACATTTACTGAGGCCCTATCAAACCAGCTACTAGATCCTCAGCACCACATTAAAATTTTTTTTAAAAAAACATATTGTTATAACTAAAAATAAATATTTTTTAAAAATCTAATACCCAGTTAACTAATATTAAGCCTCAACTTAAGTTGAAATGAGGAAAAAAATAACCTCTAAACCTCCTTTTGATGTACCATACTGAGTACAAACATGAGACAAAAAATTCATCACAGAACATGAAATAGAATGTATTTGATTCTTCCTAGAAAGTCGGTTTACTTTTTATTCTTTTCTACTTCTGTGAAAATTAGAGTTCCTAATGATCCTGGGAATAAGAATGCAAAATGTAAGATCTTTAAGATACAAAAAGAGGCCAGGTGCAGTGACATACACCTATAATTCCAGCAGCTCAGAAGGCTGAAACAGAATGACTGTAAGTTTGAAGCGAGCCTCAGCAACTCAGTGAAACCCTAAGCAATGTAGTAAGACCCCCTCTCAAAATAAAACATAAAAAGGACTGGCAATATGGCTCAGTCGTAAAGCACCCCTGGGTTCAATTCCCAATGCCCTCCCCGCAAAAAGAAAAATGACAAGATGGCCAGGGACTGATCTTAACTGAAACATTCTTCATTGGCTCTGAGGCCAAATTGAATAGTATAAACAATTGTTTTCCATCATATTAAATATAATGCCACAGTCTGGCATGGTGGCACATGCCTGAAATCCTAGAAACTAGGAGGCTAACCTGGACAACTTAGTGAGATCATGTTTCAAAATAAAAATAATAAGGGCTTGGAGTATAGCTCAGTAGTAGAGCACTTGCCTGGCATTCAGGAGGCCTGGGCTTTGATCCCCAGTAATGCCCCCCCCCCCAAAAAAAGGCTACAAATTGAAAAAAAAAAATGACCGTAAAAACAAAATCTGTCTAGTAACAATATGCATAATGAAAGAGAAGGTCATCCCTACTACCACTCCAGCTCTGCAATGGATTCTGGTCTATATCAGGTCAATCATAATCAAACTTTCATAGATCTAATTTGTAATAATTAGATGAAGAAATAGTAACTGATAGATCCACTTCATTCAGGGTAATATTTGAGCAGGAGATTTCTGAATTTTGAAAATTTTTCCAAAGGAACTATGTTTTAAAAATGAATTAAAATAACTACTATTAAAAAAGTCTCATTAAAATCATTTTTCTGTACTCAACTTCACAGGAGTGTGATGCCAACCAACACAATGATCCTAATTCTAAGCATAAGCTCCTCTAGAAAAGTGTGTGTGGAGGGGAGGGGGATGAAAAGAAGTGAATTCATGAATGTAACGAGATTTGGTAGCTCAAATATCACAAACATGCCACCTGAACAAATTAATCAATTCTCAAAAATGCAGGGCCAATATGTTCTATATTTCTTATTAAATAAAATCAAATTTATTTGACAAAGAAATCTCTTTAACTCTTGGACATCAAAATGCTGGCACTGGTGAATAAGGCTGAGAATGGGAGCCTTTCCTATGAGACTCTGAAATGGGGACAGCCTAGGGGATAAAGAGGTGGCTGACTTTTACTAATTTAGAATACAGTAAGGAAATAAGAGGCAAGAAACTACACTATTCATTTCTTTCAGCTTTCAGACTGAGCAGTCCTCTGCTTCTCTGAACAAGCAACCCAGTGAGGCTGCCTACTGTTTCCCCAGCCCCGAACCCCTTTGTTTAACTTCTCCCAATGAACATCCCTGGCTCAAGACAGGGTCTCCCACAGGAAATGTGGGCAAATCAGATTCTGTGGGAAGCTATTCTCAGACCTCTATATAGCTGCCAATGTCATTCTCACTTCTGATTGCTAAATAAGAGAGATGTAATGGAGCTCTAATCATAATCACTGAAAAAGGCCTTAAAACAAGCAATCTCATTTCTAAAGGACCACACACATTGTGATAAAGAATTTATTGTATCAATATAAATTTTCCCTCATCTAGAATATACACAATTGCTTCATTTTAAAGATGTTTCAACCACCAAAGCCTCTTTCCTAAGTAAAAATAACCTTCCTGATCAGTCTTTCTTATAAGAGACATTTTTTTAGTGCCTCTTATATCTCAGACATAATGTAGTCAGAATTCTTCTGCCCAAGGGAGGGGCAACTAGTTGTCATGGAAGTTAATAGCTACTACTGTTATTTTATTAAACATATCCATTCAACCAATGTAGAGAACACATGTCAATCTCTACCCTTCCTTGGTACCACATGTTTAGGTTCTTTCTTCTACTAAATACCAGCATACCAGTTATTTTCACCTTTGTTTGTATTAAGCATTGATTTTTAAAAATTTTTTTAAACTGTTGATAGACCTTTATTTACTTATCTGTGGTGCTGAGAATTGAACCCAGTGCTTCACACATGCTAGGCAAGTGCTCTACCACTAAGCTACAACCCTAGGCCTTAAGCATTGATTTTTTTCCCCTCCATATTTGTACTGGTACATTATAGTTGTTATAATGGTGGGATCTGTTTACATATTTGTTTATGCACACAATATAACAATATAATTTGGTCAAAATCATTCACCAATATTTTCCTTTCTTTCTCCTTCCTCTCTCTGGTCTCTTTCCTCTACTCTACTGATCTCCTTTGATTCATAAGATTCTCACCCTACTTGTTTTCCTTTTTTCTACTCTAGCTTTCACATATTAGAGAAAACATGAATTTTGACTTTCTGAGTTTGGCTTATTTTGCTTAACAGAATACTCTCAAGTTCCATCCATTTTCCTGCATTTGACACAATTTCATTCTTTTTTATGGCTGAATGAAACTCCATTGTAAACACTAATTTAAAAAGCAAACAAAAACAACAGGTTTATAAAGACATCCAGAAAAAAAATTGCAGCCTGCTTACTCATGTGCCCTGCTAGAGTTCTTCAGAAGTGAATCCAGAAAGTGCACCAGACAGAATCTAACTGCATAATCCAGCAAATACAAATTATATGAAGATGAAAGCAAACAAAAACTTTCAACTAAGAAACTATAGATTTAGCAATTATGTAAAACATACAATTAGTCTTTAAAAATAGTCAACCCCGTGAATTTGCAATTAATAACAGAGATTATGACTATTTATGAAATCCAAATTCTATGAGCAGAGAAATGAAGGTTATTCCTACCAAACCCAAACAGAAACTCACTCTGCTATATTGAGATAGCCACAGGAAGCTGCTGCATGAAGGGGTGTCCATCCCTCATTGTCTTGCTGGTTTACATTGGCTCTGTTCTCAACCAGAAACTTCACCATGTCCAAATTTTCATCAATACAGGCCTGAAAAGAAAAGTCCATTCATTTATTCAACAATAATTTATTGAGTTCTACTATGTGATAGGCACCACTCTGGACATGACAATACCCAGCAGTTCTAATAATACATTAATTTTTATGTTTTCCAAACTAAATGTGCAGAACATGACTTATAAACTTAGAAGTGCTATAGGACTATTATTTATAGTACCTATTTGATTAATTATAAAATTGATTTCTGAAGTGGGTAAAAATGATTTCTAAATGGGTAAGCTGTTTCATCATTATAATATACAAAGGAAAGCATGTTAGAAATTTGATAAGTACTGACTTGCTTACAAAGTTTAAAGGAAAATAATCACATACTATCAGATGTAATTTTCTAAGTAGGAAGTTATAGTTTAAGACTATAGGATTACTAAAGGGGGATCATTTCAAATGAAAGAAATTTATTTTTTTCATGTATTTTCTGAATGGCTTCAAACAATATGGCAAAGGATGTTTATAGTTACAGATGATCAGGGATCCTTATCTGCCCACCTCCTACCAGAAATTAGGGAAGAATGCAGAAGGGTTTTAAATAAAGGCTTTAGGCCTATCAGTCTAGAAGAAAAGAGTCACAAATAGCAATGAGATCTACAAAAAGCTCTCTTGATAATCTACAGAATAAAATGGAGGTAGAAGGTTCATGGTGACAAAGATAATCATTATATCAGGTTCAGATGGTCCTAAAACACTTGAGATATTTCAGGACTCAGACAAATGAGACACCTTTTAAAAACTCACCTATGGAACCTCTTCTTTAAATAAATAATCAATCAATCAAAATTTCAACTGAGAAAAAAAATCCATTAACCAAATCAAAATTACTTTCACAATAATATTAGGAGATTTTATACTTTTTTCATTGTTTTGACATCTGCACTAATGATGCAAAAGCAATGTTGGGTAAAACTGCTCATGCCTTAGCAGAAATCAAGGCAACAGCACCAAAAAAAGCTAATTCCACTTAAGAATGACCTTGATGAGGCAGTAAAAATTACTAATTTTATTAAATCTATATCCTTGAATATTAGTCTTTTTATTACTCTGTGATAAAATAGGAAGTATATTTGCAGCACTTCTGTGGAACTGAAGTATGATTGTTGTTTCTAGAAAAAGCATTTGTGTTATGTGTTTGATTTGCCAGATGAACTACCTACTTTTTTCATAAAACACTACTTCTACTCAAAAGAATAACTGACAGATAACTCATTGTTCCTCAGGCTTGAAAATGAAAAAAGTGAGCTTCTCACCTCAAATAAAATAACTAGTATTCTCACCTCAAATTAAATAACTAGTATTTGTGTCAGTGGTAGAATTTGGCCATGCAAGTGAAAACAGGAATTTTGCGAAATAAAACTACCACCATGAAATTGAAAGCTTCCTAATATTCTGCTGATGTTCACAATGGAACTACCAACAAGTGTGTTTGTTAATATTATTTATATAAAGAATTATAATGTGTTTACATTTGGAAGATCTGCTTAACACAATGAACCTGTGTTTTCCAAATAACCAAATGCATGGTGATAGAAAATTGGACATGGGGAAAACATACATTCAAAATACAAGTTAAACCAATGTTTTGTTTTTTTGATACTGAACCCATGGGTGCTTAATCACTGAGCCCTTTTTATTTTATATTTCGAAACAGGGCCTTGCTAAGTTGCTCAGGGCCTCACTAAGTTGCTGAGGCTGACTTTGAACATACAATTCTATCTCAGCCTCCTGAGCCGCTGTGATTACAGGTGTGCAACACCTTGCCCAGCTTGACCAATGGGTTTTAATGTGACAGAGTAAAAACAAGTCCACTGATATGGTTTTAGCTTGCACATTGCAACTAACATTTAAGAGACTACCAGTAATTAGAGTTTTGATATAGTACACAAGAGCAAAATCCACAATTGTCTGAATAGGCTATTAAAATACTCCTCATTTTTCCAAATATGTATCTGTGTGAGACTAGATTTTCTTTATGAATTTTAAGTAAAACAAGATGTCACAACAGATTAGATGCAAATATTAAAAGAGATCTGTAAGAATGTAAAAAAAATGCCACTTTCTGATGTTTTAAAAAGTATAGTTATTTTAATTAAAATATATCGTTTATGCTAATAAGTAATGGGCTGCTGTTATTTTATTTATTTAGGCACTGGGGATTGATTGAACTCAGGGGTACTTAACCACTGGGTCATATCCCCACCCCTCTTTTTATTTTTTATTTTGAGACATGTTCTTGCTTAAGTTGCTTAGGGCCTCGCTAAGTTGCTGAGGCTGGCTTTGAACTTTCGATTCTCCTGACTCAGCCTCCCAGATCACTGAGATTACAGGCATGTGCCACAACACCCAGCAGGCTGTTGTATTTTAATGTATTAAAAAGTATATATTTTTTAATTTCTCAAAAAATATAATAACCAATAGGGACACATTTCTGAATAAATTTTAGGGGGGGTTATTTATAAATTTTTAACTATAAAAGAAACTGGAGATCAAATAGTTTGAGAACCACTATACCAAGGATATTTTATGGTGATGATGAGCAACTGTTTAAAACAGTAAAAGATTATTGTGAGAAGAACTGACCTTGGAACTCCAGAGAACCCCTGTAACTACAGGACCCAAGTAATACCATCACATCAAGGGCGTTTATGGGAATTCCTTCCAGAGATAAACCTCCTGTCAATCCTGCGCAAAAGCAGGGGCATGGCTGAAAAAGCTTGATCCAAATTTAGTGAAAATTTAATTAACTCTGGTCACAAAAAGCATCTTTGTTAATTTTTCCCAGACCATATGATAATCTTTTAACAATTACTGAGATTAGCTAAATATATCAAGCTAGATTTGATTTGATGCAATATAATATATTCCTCCAACTTGACCTTTTGAGGTCAGATTACACATAGCCAGTGTTCATTACTGTCTCTTTTTCAAAAAGCAGCTATAAAAATTAATTTCTTCTATGAGGCTTTCAAGGTTTATCAACTTCAATTCCCTCCTTACTCTTCCTTTACTTCTATAAGGCATTAACTATTTTGTAATTATGCTTCTCATTACATTGGTCACATGTTGTATGTCTGAGTCTGCAATTCCATATGGCAAGGTCTAGTCAACTCATTTCAGAGTAACTCACTAAAACCTAAATAAAAGCCTTAAGTGAAAAAATGGAAGTGGGCATGCCTTAACCCATCTTCTGTTGCTATTAAAAAAAAAAAGCCTGGGAAATTTATAAAGGAAGGAGTTTTATTTAGGCTTATTGTTCCGAAGGCTGAGAAGCTGAAGATTGGGTGTCGGCATCTGGTGAGAGTCTTGTTCTACTTTAACTCACAGTGAGAAGTAGAAGGACAAGTGGGAATGTTAGAGAGAAACAGGGACCAGATTCCTAATCCCTTCCCATGGGAAAGGCATTAGACCATTTATAAGAGCCCTACCCTGCTTGGGACCCAAAATTCTTCCTCTAGTCCCACCTCCAAAACTGCTGCATTGAAGAATTAAGATTCAATATATGAACTTTGGGGGCGCACACTCAAATTACAGCAGAGTACTTTTCAAAAGGGCACTAAAGTAAAAGGAGAAGACAGTATTTTAGGGACTGTGCTAAATATTGACCTTAATAATAACACCTCCATCAAGATGACCAAATGTGCAATCTTAATTTGTATAGCCCAGGACAGTTAGGTCAGTTACTTCTTACTTGGTTGTAAAATGTCTTTGGCTCTGAAAGAAATCTAAAAACAGCTCTGGTGGCCACACTACCACCAGGCAGACTTTTGGAAGCCAATGTTTCCAAGGACATTCTTTGTATTTTGAAGATGTTAGCAGCCCATTCCAGAAGGCCTAAAATAAACCCCAAAACTAGAGAATGGGAAAAATCTGCCTTTTCTCTTTCCTTCCCTCTTAACATATTCTTTCTGGTTTTTTTTTTAATATTTATTTTTTAGTTGTAGTTGGAAACAATACCTTTATTTCACTTATTTATTATGTGGTGCTGAGGCTCAAACCCAGGGTCTTGCATGTGGAGGCGAGCACTCTACCGCTGAGCCACAACGCCAGCCCCTCTTTCTGTTTTTTAATCTCTTTCATTCCATCACTACTTCAGTTCTCTTTTTCAATTTTGTGACATTGTTGTCTATAAATTTCAAATCCCTGATACAGCATTTTCATAGGAATAACACTGCAAGGAAGTTTGAGAGAACAGCAATAAAAAACTGGTTTAATCTGATACCATCAGTCTCTAAGGAATTAATTTAGAGACAATAAAATAATTGAACTGCTCAAATCATTCTCCACAAAGACGACTGTATACTGTAAAAAGCACCAGCTGTGGGTTCAGAAGATGGAGTTTGTGTGCTGGCTCTACCAATACATATAACCTTGCGTGTGGAGTATTTAACAAAATACCAGCATACTCATCAATGGTGTTGGGAAGACCACCCACCTCACAGGGTTCTGTGAGGATTAAAGAAGACAGGTCTTTGGAAAAACAGGTGTTTCTGAGCCAACAGTATTACAAAATAGCAACTTCCCCAGGAAGAAACCACACATAAGATGTACTTACTCCTTACCGGTCAAAGCCCTCCCCAACCTCCAGTAGCTTATGGGAGAAAAATGGTTTGATTAAAAATGTCTTTGAATTAGCAAGACTTGGGAGCTTGTTCGTAAGTCTAACTTCAGAAAACTCCCTCTCTGATGTTCAAAGTCCTGTGAGTTCCTAAATTCAGGAACTACCTGAATGAAAGAGTATGCACCATGGTTAAATTGGAAGAGAATCCCTCTTGTGATACCAATCAAGAGAATTAGAAGGTATTTACTCACATGAAATACCTTGGAATGACTATTTCTCCCTCCCTCCCTCTCTTCTTTTTTGGAATCCAGAAGAAGGACTATGACTAAAGCATGGATGAGAGACGAATGGTCCCTGAAAACCTTCTCAAGTGAATAATGACTAAATTTAGATGTCCTTCTGCCCACTCCATCTGCAGCTG